AGGAGGGAGGTAGATATCACTGCGATTGAGTGTGCGAGGACATCAAAGCTTTGGAGGGATATTATTAGGATAGGGGGTCAGTCTTTGAAACATAGGAATTTGCTGGCTGAGGGTTTCAAGTGGGAGGTGGGTGAGGGTAAAAAAGTGGCCTTTTGGCATGAGTGGTGGGTTGGAGATAAAAATCTTAGGGATTTATTTCCAAGGTTATTTGAGTTATCAGTGAAGAAGGAAGGAAAGATTTTCGAAATGGGTTTTTGGGAAGAGGGTAAATGGGTTTGGAAGGTTGAGTGGAGGAGGGGAACAATAGGGCGTGAGAAAAATGAGGAGGAACTGCTGGAGAAGATGCTGGAGGGCGTTCATCTAAAGGAGGGGGTGGGGGATGTTTGGAAATGGATCCATGAGATGGAAGGCAAATATGTTGTAAAAATAGTATATGACCTTCTAGCATCTACGGAGTGTGTTTTAGAGGACTAGATGCGCAAATTAATATGGTGCAGTTGGGTGCCATCAAAAGTGGCTTTTTTTGGGTGGTGATTATGTTTAAATAGGCTCCCAACAAAGGAAAACCTTCAAAAACGTGGGATACAGGTACAAGAAGGGGTTTTTTGCGATTGTTGCAATGGGACAGTGGAGGAAGTTAATCATTTATTCTGCGTCTGTTATAAGGCATGGTTAGTTTGGGCACAAGTGTTGAGTTGGTGGGGTGTGGAGAGTGTCTTGCCTAATACAGTGGTGGGAATGATAGATTTTTTCTTATGTGGTTTAGGAAGAATAGTTGGAAAGGAGATGGGATCCTGTATTTTTCTAGTGGTTGCCTGGTATTTATGGTATATACGCAATGCTCAAGTATTTCGAAAAGATGAAGGATTAATTGAAAACCTGCTGGAAAGGGTGCAAGTTAAAACCTTTTTATGGATTAAATCTAAAGTGAATGGCTGCGTTTTCTCCTTTCATGAATGGCAAGCTCGTCCGATGGAGTGCGCTATGGCTATCAAAAATCATAAAAGGATGAGGAAGCAATTCTTTAAGTCAATCGGGCCCCTTGGTTGAGGTTTTGGCAGTGCAGTAGGTTTTGTTTTAATTAGGTCTATAAGTTTGGTCAAAGTCTGGTTGTGAGGTGCCTGGCTCCAATCAGACGTGGGTTCCATCAAGTCGTGGGTGCCATATTGATGTAGATGGGTTGAAGCACCCCTTGTGCTTCTTTAAATAAAAAGTCTTTATTTGGCTGATCAAAAAAAAAAATTATCGTCGACCAAAATCAATCAAAATATATAAAAGTTATAAGTACCATTTTTTTATTAGCAAAAGATATTGTATTTCTAGGGTACAAGGCGTGTCCAACTTAGGCATACCCAAACCTGTTTACATCCCTATATCTACAAAATTTTGATTAGACTTTTATGGCACATCATTTTTTTTATACAGTAAAAAAATATTTATTAAATAAAGTATAAGGAGTGCTTCTCCTCAATGCATCAAAAACAATTACAAAACCCAAAAGATCAATAAAAAGCTCCCATCTACATCATCCAGCTAAAGGACAAAACCAACGAAAGATGTTGAACTTTGTTACATTGTTTGAGCAATCAAAGTCCCAGCAATTTAAACACCAAAAGCATGTCCAAATTTTCTACTACGTTTCTTTTTAAACACGGACAGGTTCACACATCCGTTCATAAAAATTAAAAGAATATCCGACAGACATGCCTTTAATCCATGCCTTTAATCCAATGATAAGCCCTTAATTGAACAAATTCAAATATCCTGTTAGCCTCGTACTCAAAATTTTGAAAATCTTTGCATTTCTAGCAACCCACAAAGACCAGATTGTTGAGAACCATATCATTACCTGTCCAATTGAACAAAGCTTCGTACTCAAAATTTATAGCACAGCCTAATACGTAGCATTACCTTTTTGCTCAGCTTCTACAGTATTTCTAAGGCTTGCCTTTGGGTTAAATTTCCAAACCTCTACAGACAAATTTGGCATACCATTAGCTCTCAATCAAATATAGGATCCGTATTTAACAAGCTCAACTATCTCTCCTTTTTCATAAAGCTAGGTTGCTATGAATGTCAAAAATTTCCGTTGCACAATCCCATCAATTATTCTTCCTACTTTAGTCAGTTGGGCTACTACTAGAGAATTAATAAACATTACAGACCAAAATTTTTCCAAAAAAAGAGAGAAAAGAGTAGAATTGGTATGTTTTCACTTTTCATACGTGTATGTAATGAAAGAATTCAATGCCTTAGGCCCTTATTTATTTCATTGTCAAAGAACCAATTTAATCTTCTTGGCTGATGATGACCATCAGTAAAGCGTGTGTGAATAATTTATTTGATTAGATTTATATACAGTCTAGATATTAATATTTATTTTTAAGATTGTATTTTTATTTTTATTTTTTAAAAAAATTTATTAAAAATTAATAAAGTACAAAAGGTATCCCAATCTATTACATAAATAATCTCAAATTACAAGTATAGTTGTTTCAGGCATTTCATTGACCTAATACCCGATATATAGAATTAAATTTACAATCTTTTGACCTAACCTTTATTCAATGATAATATCTTAACTGAACAATGCACAATAATCCTTCCCTTATCTAGTCTTATTGCTGAATACCTTGTCATTTCTAGTAAGCCACACTGATCAAATTACCGCCGCCCATCCCAGCCAATTTCCACTTTTTATTTTTATTTTTATTTTTTATTTTTGAGGAATCTTGTAACGGCCGATTTCCACTTTCCTTTTTTTTTTTTTTTTTTTTTTTTT